CAGGGTCCGGATCAGGGTAGTGGCAGGCGAGATGACGAACCTCCTGCCGGGCCGGTCCGCTCGCGGCGGAGGAGAGCTGTCTTCATGCCGACCGCGGCGGCGCCTAATCTCGGGCAATCTCGGGTAATCTCGCGGCGGAGGAGAGCGGTCTTCATGCCGACCGCGGCGGCGCCTAATCTCGGGAATCTCGGGCAATCTCGGGCAATCTCGGGTAATCTCGGGCCAAGGCGCCTGCGACGTCGCGCTCGTCGGTAGACTACGTACACTCGCAATCTCGGGTACTCTCGGCTAATCTCGGGTAGTCTCGGGCCAAGGCGCCTGCGAGGTCGCGCTCGTGGGTAGACACGTACACTCGCAATCTCGGGTAATCTCGGGCAATCTCGGGTAATCTCGCGCCAAGGCGCCTGCGAGGTCGCGCTCGTGGATAGACACGTACACGACGTCCTCCGGAGCGACTCCGAGCGCCGCGAGAGCGAGCTCGTACGGCGCCTGAGGGTCGATTCATGAGCCAACTAATTAATAAATTGATCAATTGTTAATTACACCCTTTTGGCTCGTACGGCGCCTTGGCGCGGTGCGCCGAGATGACGCACTCCACTGCGCCGCCGCCGCCTCCGCCGCCTCCTCCTCCTCTGCAGCCGCCGCGCCCGTCTCCGCCTCCGCCGCCGCCCTCCCGCCCCCCTTCCCACCTCCCGTCCCGCCTCCCCTCGCGCCTCCCCTCGCCTCGCCCCTCCCCCGCTTCCTCCCCTCCCCCCTCCCCCGTCTCACCCCCGCCCGGCACGACGCGCAAGTCGCTGCGTCGAGAGCGCCTCCAGCTCCCTCGGCGGCGGCTCGACCTGCAGCCTGTCACATCGCCGTCGAGTCCGCACGCCTAAGGTACGGTAAGGGAAGCCTCTCCACACACACGAGGTGGCGGGGCAAGGGCCAGGCTAGTCCCGCGCGTCTCCACGTCTAGACGACAGGAGCCCCGCGGCATCACAAGTGCAAGGCCCAGTGCGCGTGGGTGAGCGGTGTGTGGGGGGGGAGGGGGGGGGGGGGGGAGGGGAGGGGAGGGGGTCGCGTCACTGCGCGCCTCTGCGAGCGCAGCGCGGCGCGAGACCCGACGTGGCGAGCCTGAGCAGGCCCCAGTGACGAGATTGCCCGAGATTGCCCCGAGATTGCCCCGAGATTGCCCCGAGATTGCCCGAGATTGCCCCGAGATTGCCCCGAGATTGCCCGAGATTGCCCGAGATTGCCCCAGATTGCCCGAGGTTAGGCCCGACAAGGGCCCCTCCCCCGTCCCGTCGCTGGGGGGCAATATCGGGGAAACCCGGGG